CTCCACCCTAAAAGCGATGGCCTCCACCCTAAGAGCGATGGCCTCCACCCTAAGAACGATGGCCTCCAGTCTAAGAGCGATGGCCTCCAACCTAAGAGCGATGGCATCCAACCTAAGAGCGATGGCCTCCAGTCTAAGAGCGATGGCCTCCACCCGAAGAGCGATGGCCTCCAGTCTAAGAGCGATGGCCTCCACCCTAAGAGCGATGGCCTCCACCCTAAGAGCGATGGCCCCCACCCTAAGAACGATGGCCTCCACCCTAAGAGCGATGGCCTTCAGTCTAAGAGCGATGGCCTCCAGTCTAAGAGCGATGGCCTCCAACCTAAGAGCGATGGCCTCCACCCTGAGAGCGATGGCCTCCAGTCTAAGAGCGAAGGCCTCAAACATACTAATGAGCGATGGCCTCCAACCTACTAGCAATGGCCTCCAACCTACTAGCGATGGCCTCCACCCTAAGAGCGATGGCCTCCACCCTAAGAGCGATGGCCTCCAGTCTAAGAGCGATGGCCTCCAACCTAAGAGCGATGGCATCCAACCTAAGAGCGATGGCCTCCAGTCTAAGAGCGATGGCCTCCACCCGAAGAGCGATGGCCTCCAGTCTAAGAGCGATGGCCTCCAACCTAAGAGCGATGGCCTCCACCCTAAGAGCGATGGCCTCCAGTCTAAGAGCGATGGCCTCCACCCTAAGAGCGATGGCCTCCACCCTAAGAGCGATGGCCTCCACCCTAATAGCGATGGCCTCCATTGCCCACATTACGATCATGCAAGTCTCTGGGTTTGCTTGGACAATCCGCCACTCCATCCTGGAGATACTGCAGGTGATTTGTTCCCAGCTTCAAGGAGAAAGCAGGCAAACTTGCTGCTGTCTAGCTACTAGCTGGTGCAGCTGTAAGCTAGGGGCGCCAAATGTTAAATAAGGTCGACCCCAAACCACAGGTTCCATCTGGCCCATTACATGTGCTGCGTTCCTACCGGTCGACTCGTACCGTTCCATCGTCGTCTCTTCGTCTTCCCGCGTCCTGCGTGATGACTTCTTCGAACTCGACGGCCCAGCGGTCTTCGAGCTGGAAGAGCCAACGTCGGAAGGCTTCCCTGCGAGGCTTCCCGAGTGGTTCAGAGCAGGTTGCTCTCCATGAAGAGCAGGTTGCTCTGCTGTGCTTACAATGAAGAAGTGCTGTTGAGGTTGTCAAGTGCAACCCCCTTCAAGGCCTTCGAGGTGTTTCGCTCGTTTTGCTCCTTGTACTTGATCAAGTAGATGCATATTTCACGAACAGGGCGACTAGTTCACGAACACAGGAACTTCTTTGCCCCTAGGAACTGGACGGATAGCTCACACTCGCAGCACCCGCACTAATGATTTGGTTCCGAAGCTACTAGTAACAAGTGCATCGCTTCTAGTAACAAGTGCCTTACTAGTAGTAACAAGTGCCACGCTACTAGGGGCTCCTGGCCTTACTACTAGGAGCAAGTACGCTCCTAGGAACTGACGGAGAAAGGACACTTAACTTATTTGCACATCTGGCATCGAACCGCTCATGGCTAGAGTCTCCTGCCCTTCTGTCAGTCCATGCATAACCATGGTCACCTCTCTTTTGGTCAAAAGTACAAACGACGGTATCGTGATGAAGACCTTCAAAGCTTTCGGCAACCCTTAGAGGATCTTGTCCTATCCAGCAATCTAGGGGCATCTCGGGTGGTCTCAAGCTCTTCCATCTCCCGAACTTCAGAGCTAATCTCAAAGAAAATGAGACTTTAACGTTTGGTGTGTGCGGTCAGTGACCGAAGGCCAGAAGGCAAAAAGAAGAAGTTGAATGGTACTCTGTGGTACACCCTGAGATCAGTTGCTTGGACCCTTGGCTTCATCGGACCACCTTAGAGCAGCCGCGGCCATGCTTTCGGGCGGCTGGTCAAAGCAAACACCAGCGTAGGCCTCGGATGGGAAGAGTGACCGCAAAGTTAAATGATGTCTGTATTTGTTGCGATGTCTAGGGCCTTGCTTCCAAGTACCGCAAACTGCAATGAGATTGCTATACGATAAAGAGTTTTTTTAATACCAATGTGTTAACAATAATGCGTTGGGACGCGGCATGACTAGTAGTAATGGCCTCCACCCTAGTAACGATGGCTTCCAACCTAGTAGCGATGGCCTCCAAGCTAATAGCGTCTAGCTACTAGTAGTTTCTTGTTACTAGTAGGTAATGACCCCTTTTAATGGACCAAAGACCTGAACCGATCCCTTTTCGCACAGAAAGCGTCCCCAAAAGCGTTTTGATCTCACCTTCCAGAAAGCTGCATCGTTCCAAAGGCAATTTCCTCGGGGGTGCGAGTGGGATAGGAAAGAAGGAGGAATTCAAATTGTAGATAAATGTAGATTCTCACATCTGCGAACTACTACACCAAGAAAGGCCAACTACAGCTGCGATGGCTGAGGCTCTCATTTGCAAGCAAGCAGGAGCCATGTGCCCCACGCAAGCCACCTCCACAAATAAGAACATGTACGCTCTAAGCTCCTGAGGCTCGTCGGGACCATATTTGAGCTAATCAAGTCGGTCACAACATGAAGTCAGAGGTCACTTGCGTGAAGATTGTATTTGGAGAAACTATTGTAAATGAGTCCTCTTGTAGCTGCATGACCATCGTCACCAATGTCGCTTGATGTAAGCCTCGAGATTCAAAAAAGGCATGGATACGATATAGTTCTGGGTCATCTGATCTGAGCTTCACACTGGAACGAAGGTCAGCAACCTCAATTCACCAAAACACCACAACGAAAGCATGACACTTGGCCACACAAACAAGGTCACGCCCGCTGCAACGGCCCCGCGCGATTTGCGCGTTCTCACATGCATCTTCGAGTCGTTTTTCACAACCCCTCTGGCACTTTATGGTGATGCATTTTTTAGTTCAATATCATTTTGAATGCGTTTTTACACCACAAAACGCCTCTCAAATCGTAACTCCATTGTGAAATGACAGTGCGTTCGGGGACCCGGAAGTAAAAAAACGGATCTTGATCGTTTCTCTTTTTTTCATGAAACCTGTATTAACACACTTCCACTCCCTCAGGCGTGCCACTCCTTTTCACGGGCTCTACTCCTTCTGTCCCATCTGACCCAACTTCTGCAGTTGGTGCTTAGACGGTGTATTACGGCGCCACACAAAGCTATACATATATTCTTGGATCTGTGCATTCAACCCGCCGTTGGATCGTTTTTTGGATGCCAACTCTTTCGGGATACACTTCTTCAGGGATGACCATTTGCGGTCAATACATTGGGTGCCATGCTTCACTGCAGTTGGTGCATTCATTCTAATTAAATGATGGGTTATCACGGGTCAGACCTTGCTTAACCACCACTGGGAATATCAACTTGGTTTGCTAGTGCAAGCGAACGTTAACACCCCCCCCATCCCCAACGTAGTATCAACTTGGTTTGCAGGTGCAAGCGAACGTTAACAAACCCCACCCCATCCCCAACGTAGCATCAACTTGGTTTGCCAGTGCAAGCGAACGTCAACACACACCCCATCCCCAACGTAGTATCAACTTGGTAGCATCAACTTGGTTTGCAAGTGCAAGCGAACGTTAACAGACCCCGCCCCAGCCCCATCCCATCCCCACCGTAGCATCAACTTGGTTTGCAGGTGCAAGCGAACGTTAACAGACCCCACCCCATCCCCACCCCACCCCACTCCCAACGTAGCACCAACTTGGTTTGCAAGTGCAAGCGAACGTTAACAGACCCCAACCCATCCCCACCCCATCCCCAACGTAGCATCAACATGGTTTGCAAGTGCAAGCGAACGTTAACAGACCCCACCCCACCCCATCCCCAGCGTAGTATCAACTTGGTTAATGGCGAAAACGTGGAAATTCTCCGGGGCCGTTAGGGGGGGGCGTGAGCACAAACAAATATCATCGAATATCATCCTGACTCATGTTTTGGTAGAAACAAAAAATGCGCACCTGGCAAGCCATGGCTTACAAACACCAGTGGAGCATCAGATCATTTGTTTGGTTGGAATTGGTGAGATTGTCTTTTGCTGGCTTGCGGGCTCCTGAGCCTCAACTACTCATGCCGCCTGAAGGTGTTCCGTCAAAAAACCTTTTCCAAGTGATTGACACTTCTGGCGTAGGGGCCGTAGGGTGATCGATTTGACCGTGCTGATTTGATACATATTTGACATATTAAGTATGTTCTCAAAAAGAACTCAACCGAGTCAATCTGAACGCTTCTCTCCAAGTCAGGTCTCATTCAGTGTGTAGATTCTTTGGCAGGTTGTGCGGACAACCAAACGTTTAAAACATGTTGAAACTCTAGGTCACCCGGTACAAGTTTTGTTACCGCAAGCTGTTACGCCCTGAACATATAATTCCGCCAACACTGGAGCAGGAAGGAGCAGGCAATCTCAACAATGAAGTTTGTCCCTCCCTGTTCTCTTCTTGCATGCACGGTGAAACTGGGGAACATGATGGTGTTTGTCCATTCAAACAGCCAAGAACAATAACAAACCTTCAACAAAAGACATTGATCTGCCTTTTGTCCTTTTGCTCCCAGATCCATCGATGCCATTCCGAAGCCACAGGGGAGCGGCCATTCTTTTGGTGATAAATCTGTGTCGGATTGACATGGTTTCAGGACGGAGGTGACAAGAAACTCGGCTTCCAAGAGAGAGCTCTTGCAAAAAACAAAAACCTTTTTGGACCCTTTCTCAAGAAATCCTGAGCCCGCGTGCAAGGCTGAACTGTTGGCACACTTGAACGTTGGCAACTTCAAATTGGCCAGCACTATCAAATGGCCAAGTTCGAACCCGGCAAGGTTCGGTATGGAAGCATTATCCTAGCAAACTCTCAGCTTTTGCGGAGATACCAAATACATCCAAAACTAGTCGAAGGTCTCCGCTGCTCACGCCTAGAAACTCCTTCACAGTGTCATATATCAAGAACTGAGCACAAATGGCAGCTGCAAAATAGACACAGCGAGCTCCAAGTCCTTTCCAGAGATCCAGACTGCCCAGAGATGCACGACCTGCATCTTTGATGTTTCCACTGGAAGAGATCTGAGTGATTACAACATCTGCAGGATTGGATACAATCGCCGACATCAAGCCGGCCAGAGCACCGGCCAAGGCCGAGATACCCAACGATGTCTCTGCTTGTGGAGCAAAGACCGCGAAGAGCGCACGGGAAGCCAAATCGAAGACCAGGAATTTACAGGCCGAAAAGGGAATTTCTCGTGCCCAGAACGGAACGAGACCTGCCCAAAGGCTTGGAAGTCCTCGTCCGTCCCTTCCCTCAATTGCTTCCTTGGTGATCTCTCCAAAGGAGCGGCGCTCAGAGGGGGCCATGACCCGGACGCGCAGCGTTTCGAAAGGACACGCGAGGATGGAAGCCACAAAGATCGAGCCAATGGATGCAGCCAGGACAATGGGTGCAGTGGCTTCGGCATATGGATCTCTCCATTTCTCCAAGCTCCGGCGGAAGAACTCATTGAGACCAAAGCTGGTAAAGCCCGTGACGCTGGTGGCCAAGATCGTGGCCCCTGTTCCTTTGTACAGGGCCCCAAGACCACCATCTCTGCTCAAGAGTGATGCTGTAGATAAGAAGCTGTCGAAAACACCTCCCTGTTCTTCTTCGCGCGTTTCCGTACTGAGCTGCTGGGTGATCTTCACCACATCCAAGGGTTGCAGAACTGCCCGGACAACGGCACTGCACACGGCGCCGGAAAATGCGAGGCGTGCATATTGCGAGAGGTCCAGCGCACGGGCGCGAGCCACTGGAGAGCGGCCTAAGGATACTAGTAGCGTCCGATTGCTCCTAGTAGCGATGCCCAGGTTACTAAAGTAGTGTCCTTGTTCCCAGTAGTAAGGCCAGGCGCTACTCGTAGCGTCCTTGTTCCTAGAAATGCCAGGAGCTACTAGTAACTACTAGTAGCATCCTTAGCGATGCCCTTTGCTCCGCTCGTAAGCTTCTTGCTGGAAAGCGGCCTAAGGATCCAAAGAGAGGATCTAAACTCGCTGGACGATCAAACTCTGGAAGTTCCGACGCTGCGAAGCTTCCAACTCCAAACCCTTCGCCGCCATCCAAGTTCACTTCCAATGAACTCAGCGCGGCGGCCGCCAAGAGTGCAGCTTGGCTCGGCCGGTAGTAAAAGTTGGTCTCGTTTTGAACCAGTTCCTTGGACGTTCTTTAGAACCTCCCCCCCAGCCTCTGTGAGTCATCTCAAAAAGCAGTTCATGTCATTCCATAGTTTATGGAGATCGAATCATCAAACCACACAGGATCAGCCACAAGAACTGTTACGGTCAGAGTACCCAGAGTACTCGGTTCCTCCCAATCGATCGCCCCCGTTCACCCCAGATTCCCTTCAATTGACCACACGACAAGGCCTTCCTGGTAACTGTTGGTCCCAAATCTACCACTACCCCTACCCCACCCCTGCAGTTTAGGGGATGAGCTAGCAGCTAAGGTGTGGACCGCTAAAGCAAAACAATCTGCCAGTACTTGATCAGCCTTGCTTCTGGCATGCAAAGTCCATCAGGGATCAGTTGAGCCAGGCGATCTGCCAAAGGCTTGTTGCGGAGACGCTGCAGCTCTGCATCCGTGGCGGCCGCTGCTTCGGTGAGATCGACAATGTCCACGAAATCTACAGCAGCAGTAAAATCCTCAATCAATCTCTCAATCATGTCTGCAGGCTGCAACTCAGGTGGCAATAAGGACAAAGCAAATGCCAACTGTCTCTTGGCCGCCACATTATCACGACAAAGGCCTCTCAACGCCTTGGCAAGGCTCAACAAACCGGCTGCATCATTGCCATACGCGCCCAGAATGCCCAAATCCACCGCCGCGGCCAAGGCGGCAAACTGCGCCCGCCGCGCTTCGGCGCCGGTCCGACGGGGGGCCGAGCTCTCCCAGACCTGGGCCGACTTCGCGTCGTAATTGATGAGGACGCGCGTCAAATACGTGACGAAGGCCCTCGGCAGCGGTGCAGATCGTTGGGGTTTCTTCTGACTCAACTGCTCCAATTCTTTGGCTCGTCGCTTCAGAACACTGGCTGTGGTCCAAACCTCCCCAAGCTTGTCTGTCTCCGTATAATCTTCTTTCACCCCTGCCGCACTGAAAGCAGGCAGAAGTAGCGCCGAGGTCAGCGACTGCAGGAGGTCTCGTCGGCGAGTTGCACCGAGCTCCGTCGGCACAAAGCTCCAAGTAGCACCGAGCACCGCCAGGGTCAACACGCGCACGGCGGAGTGTACACGCGGAGTGCGCAGTGTGGCCCGCGCAAGGTGCTTTCTTTGCGCACCGCGCATGGCATCCCGGATGCTCTTGGGAAATCAGCGATGATGGCTACGGCTATGGAATTTAGTTGTGGCATGAATGATATGAATGGTCTATACTGTTTAAAGTGGTGTATCGTCATTGGCTCATGAGCTGAGTGAATTGAGGAGCAGTTCTATTGCTTTCAGGAATGGACACTTGATTGCTTTGGAAGGGCACCTGAATCCTTCAGAATCTGACTAGTGACCAGTGATCCAAGACGGCTTGCAACAACGCACTCGTCCCAAAGGTCCTCCAACACATGAGGTCAAGAATGCTACTAGTAGTGATGCCAGGAGCCCCTAGTAGCATCCCTGCTCCTAGTAGTAAGGCCAAAGGCCAGGAGCTACTAGTAGCTTCTGGCTCCTAGTAGTAAGGCCAGGAGCTATGTTCGTAGCTTCTTGCTCCTAGTAAGGCCAGGAGCTACGATCGTAGCTTCTTGCTCCTAGTAGCAAGGCCAGGAGCCCTTAGTAGCGTCCTTGCTCCTAGTAGTAAGGCCGGGAGCTACTAGTAGTTTCTTGCTCCTAGTAGTAAGGCCAGGAGCCCGTAGTAGCGTCCTTGCTCCTATTAGTAAGGCCAGGAGCTGCTAGTAGCGTCTTGCTCCTAGCAGTAAGGCCAGGAGCCCCTAGTAGTGTCCTTGCTCCTAGTAGTAAGGCCAGGAGCTACTAGTAGCGTCTTGCTCCTTGCAGTAAGGCCAGGAGCCCTAGTAGCGTCCTTGCTCCTGGTAGTATGGCCAGGAGCTACTAGTAGCTTCTTGCTCCTAGTAGTATGGCCAGGAGCTACTAGTAACTTAGTAGCTTCTTGCTCCTTGTAGTAAGGCCAGGAGCCCCTGGTGGCGTCCTTGCTCCTAGTAGTAAGGCCAGGAGCTACGTTCGTAGCTTCTTGCTCCTAGTAGTAAGGCCAGGAGCCCCTAGTAGCGTCCTTGCTCCTAGTAGTAAGGCCAGGAGCTACGTTCGTAGCTTCTTGCTCCTAGTAGCTTTAGGAAGCTCTATGCCACTTGCCAGCACCTCTCCACTTTTCCACACGACAGGCTTTTGCTGATCACCTTCATGACGAAGGGCTAGAATCTTTTGTAGCATCAACTATTGAAATGTCCGTCAACCTGGCCAACTCTGTTTCTCCCAAAACCTGGTACTCTGCAACCAAATGGTTCACACTGAGAACCTCTAGTCTATCAGAGTGTTTCCGAACCAAACTACAGCGGCCTACAAGTTGGCATCCTTCCATTCCATGAACGCTTCCATCTCCGCGACCGCTTCTGGGCTTAGCTTCCGTCCAAAGACCTGTTAGAACATGGTGTGGCAGTTTTGTCCATGTTCGATAGGGTTTTCGGCAATCGGCAATGTATTATAATGATGTATATAATGTTAAGGATCTCACTCTTTGAGCTCTGACGAGCCGACTCCTGTCAGCCTCTATCGTGAGCAGTCGCAAGCAGTAATCTTGACACTTCCTGCCTCGTGTGCAACCTTGAGCTGATGCAGAATGAGAATCCCCTCTGGCATATGCATCAGATACTTCTCCTCAGAACTGTTGCAGAAAATGCATAATCACTTTTTAAACGATGCAACTCATCCTTGAAGTTGGGCTCTGCAAAAGGCTCAAATCGGTAAAAAAGAAATAGAGAAAAACAAACATGAAAGCATCCATTGCTACTAGGTTGGAGGCCATTGCTACTAGGTTGGAGGCCATTGCTAATGGGTCGGAGGCCATTGCTCTTTAGGTTGGGTGGCAGACTTCTCCAACTCACCCGACTGATCCCACCGCTCCCCACGGAATGTTCAGCTAAGGAGCACAGCACCACCTCATCTCCCAAGGTCCAGCATAGACGAAACAAAATGGCAGGGCGCCAAGGCACACAATTGTCAGCGCGACCGGACGCCTTGGACACCCGGATTTGCCTAGAGATCCACTGACTTCCAAATGACCTTTGTTCCTAGATGTTCCTAGTAGCTTCTTGCCACTAGTAAGGCCAGGAGCCACTAGTAGCGTCCTTGCTCCTAGTAGCGATGCCCTTTGCTCCTAGTAGCTTCTAGCTACTAGAAGTAATGCCCTTGTTACTATAGTAGGGATGCCCTATCATGCATTTGATTTTCCTTTGACCTCTTCTACAAGTCTCCTTCTTGGATCATCCCCTTGTACGACAAGTTGCGCATACCAAGGGCCTTTCCACAGGCTGATCATCGTCCAGTTCCAGAAGGCAAATGCCAGGTCCTCGATTGGGCAAAAGAAGCGCCCCACCCTAGCTTTGTGTGTGTGTAAATTAATAGCAAACATTGTTACTACTAGTAAGGCACTTGTTCCTACTAGCGTGGCACTTGTTACTAGTAACAAGAAGCTATTAGTGTTGGGCAGTTGATGGCAGGACATCGGAGGATCGATCTTTCCTTTTGGAGTAACAAGTTGCAAGTTGCAACCGAAGCGATTCAGCACAGCTTTTTGTAACAGCAGAATCACAGGGACTGATCCTAATAGCGATACCACCATGAGAACTACCGTGCCTGGAGCCGTCCAATCCACGTGCTGGCACCAAACATCACGACATGCCAAAGATTCGTCTCTTCCTCGAAGCGCGACCTGCCCAACAGCACTTCGAGAGGCGCCCAAAACGGCCGGAAGGCACAACGCCCAGAAGGCACCAGGGCACCTCTCTAAGGTCGGTGGCTCCAAATCCCAAATCCTGAAGTTGAAGGTTGAAAATCAGAAACAAAGAAGCTACTAGAGGCTCCTGGCCTTACTAGGAGCGTTCGGACGCTACGAATGGGGCTCCTGGCATCACTACTAGTAGCATTCTTACTAATTCAAATTTAATTCTACCAGCTTCTTGTTACTACTAGCGATGCACCTGTTACTAGTAGCATTCTTACTACTAGGAACAAGAAGCAAAGGGCATCCTGAATTGTGTCGGGGACGGGCACATAGAGGAGACATGTCTGAAACGAGACAGGAAGGTCTAAGAACCTCCCAAAACCATAATTTACTTCCCTCAGATGACTCTCAGTTTGCACATCTCCTCCTCAGAGGTCCGAAGGTGTCTTCCCAGCAGCGCAGTGGAACTCGCAGCAGGGACTCCTTCAAATACCACGCCAAGGCTAAGCCTGGCACAAGGCCATTACTACTAGTAGCTAAGGGCATCGCTACTAGGAGCAGGAGCAAGGACGCTACTTGGGCTCCTGGCCCTACTACTAGTAGCAAGAAGCTAGTAGGAACAAGTGCATCGCTACTAGTAACAAGTGCCTTACTACTAATAACAAGAAGCTATTAGTAACAAGTGCATCGCTTCTAGTAACAAGAAGCTACTAGGAGCAAAGGGCCTCGCTACAAAGGCATCGCGGTGCATCGCTACGAACGTAGCTATCGCACCGAGCCGACGCAGAGTCGAGCACGCGTGGAGCGCACACCGGTGGCGTTTCGTTGGACTAGTAGCGTCCTTGTTACTAGAAGCGAGGCACTTGTTACTAATAGCTTCTTGTTACTACTAGTAAGGCACTTGTTACTAGTAGCGTGGCACTTGTTCCTAGTAGCTTCTTGCTTCCGACTCAGAATGAACCATGTGCCTATGACGAAGAATGTGAGGCCCATGACAAGGCTGAACTGCACACATAGTCTCAGGCCCTCCATCCTGACAGAAAAGGGACCGACCGTGAACCTGAACATACTGTTTGAGCGAACGAGGAAAGACCGACTTAGTGACTAGCGCAAAAGGGAATATCGACCGGAAACACTCGTGCAAGGACGCTACTAGGGGCTCCTGGCCTTATTACTACTCGCATTCTTTACTCTGTGGCAACAGTGACAGCATCACTGCACAACAGCGCTCAATGTCATGCCTGCGCGCTGCTCGATGGACCAACTCGTTCCCATCCTGCAAAGCAAGAGCGGGTGCCGTTGCCCAAACAGAGTACAGGACACTTTCAGCGCGAAGATCCGAAGAAGCTACTAGGTTGGAGGCCAGTATGCAGTAACAAGATTCTGGATTCACGCCGTCCGGAAAGCGGAAATCCAAACGACTCCGTGTCTCGCCTCCAGATGCATCCCACACCAACGCCACCGTGGGGGCGATCGACTCTCCCAAACGTGGCGTGGCATGGGGCCCTCGTGGAGGACACGTGTCGGCTTTCCTGTCGTGTGCCGCGCGCACCAACGGCATGGAGCACAGCGACGTTGTTCCGAACTGGTCACTTGTCAACGCCTTCTTCGGCATCAGGAGCTGGGTCAGCTGCCATGGTCATCTCAGACCTAATTCAAAGGGCTGCAGGAACAAGCCGTGCGTCGAGTCCCGGAGCAAATGTGACGAGTAGGTGCGGCTATTGAAGCTCAACAGCTCCTTGGTGGCATTGGAGTCCAAACTCGTGTTTCACACCTCTAGAAAAGAATCACTTCACCTATCCCAAGCCAGTCCCAGAATCTCTTCCTGCGTGAAAACAAGCACCTTCGCGCTTGGCATCAGTAAACAAAGTCAACGGAGTGAACACTGTCTCGAGAGTCTCACATATTGATGCCCCCGTCGCTCCTGGCAGCAGAATTGAACCGCGCAGCTCTCTGTGCGTGTGTGTGAAAAAATCAATGAGAGCTGCGTCACATTGAAAGGGTTGAACACCTCGACCCAAGACCAACGAAATCCAAAAGAAAGGAATCAAGAAATCGACATGAGTCATGATCATGCATAATCACATGCTCTTTTCAAGAGACGTTCCGGTTTTGGTCAAAGGCACTTACAATATCATATATACACATAAATGCACATGTTTGTTGCTTTCACTCGGCACCGTGTCTCAGGTCCTTGAACTAGACATGGCTCAGGATCTCAACCGAGCTGGATACATGATTTGAATGAGTTACCGGGCGTGCACCAGTTGGTGGAGTCTGGTGGAGTTATAGCTGTTTCGCAACAATCAACAATTGTAGAGAGGTGTCATCAAGCGTCTGCTCCTGTTTTCGATGTATGTGGGATGCTCTGACCACGACGGGTGACGATCTGAAATTGTTATCTGCCTTGATCCTTGAAGAAAACGATTTGGGAAGCCGTACGGCTGGGCAAAATCGCGTCATGAAGAAACGAGACATCGAGGTGAAGTTGAACTATGGATGCTCACTAGATGCAATAATAGACATCTCAAACAATTTCAAACACCCAATCTGTTCATCAAAGTCTTTGTCAAGCGAGGTCTAGGGTCTGGAGGTCTATCATGGTCTATCGGCCTAAAGGCCATCGAAACCTAAGACTCCACCGCAGTCAGTGCAGTGAATTGAATGGTTGGCGCGGAAGCGCGCCCACTGCGAGGCAAAGGCCGAGGCCCCTCGTGCCGACACGAGCGCCTCAAAAACGGTGAGAAGTCCAGCTTGCAGCCGCTTCTATCGGGAAGGTTCCTGAATCGGCCACAGAAATCCGACTTGGGAAACAAATCTATATACAAGTCTATATAGGAATATAAATATACATGTATACTACAGAACTTCTTACAGCATCTTACAGGAATGTGGTGAGATGTCGAGACATCTCGGAGACATCTCGGGTCAGCTGACCCGCCTCGGCTCCGGCCTTCCGAAGCAGTTCCACGACCTGGCGCAGTGACTGGATCTACTAGCGATGGTCTCCAACCTATTCGCGATGGCCTCCAACCTACTATAGCGATGGCCTCCAACTTACTAGCG